ATGGGACAGCCAGAGGAATGGCACCTGGTGCGAGAATTGCAGCTTATAAAGTTTGTTGGGTTGGTGGTTGCTTCAGCTCTGATATTCTATCAGCAGTTGATAAAGCTGTGGCTGATGGGGTCAATGTGTTGTCTATTTCTTTGGGTGGTGGAGTGTCAGCTTATTACAGGGACAGTTTGTCCATAGCTGCTTTTGGGGCTATGGAGATGGGGGTTTTCGTGTCGTGCTCAGCTGGAAATGGAGGACCAGACCCTGTTAGCCTCACCAATGTGTCCCCTTGGATAACCACAGTTGGTGCTAGCACCATGGACAGAGATTTCCCATCTACTGTTAAGCTTGGAAATGGCAGAACTGTGACTGGGGTTTCACTCTACAAAGGCACAATGATGCTGTCAACAAATAAGCAATACCCTGTTGTGTACATGGGCAATAATTCAACAAGCCCTGATCCAAGCTCATTGTGTTTGGAGGGAACTTTGGATCGGCGTGTTGTTGCTGGGAAAATTGTGATTTGTGACCGAGGGATTAGCCCCAGAGTGCAGAAGGGACAGGTGGTGAAAGATGCAGGAGGAGTAGGCATGATTTTGGCAAACACAGCTGCAAATGGAGAGGAACTTGTTGCAGATTGTCACCTTGTTCCAGCAGTAGCTGTAGGAGAAACTGAAGCAAAAGCAATAAAGCATTATGCTTTAACAAGTCCAAGAGCCACTGCAACTCTGGCATTTCTTGGGACGAGAACTGGGGTTAGGCCATCTCCAGTTGTGGCAGCATTTTCATCCAGAGGACCCAACTTTGTGAGCCTTGAAATTCTCAAGCCGGATGTGGTGGCTCCAGGGGTCAACATTCTTGCTGCTTGGACTGGAGCATTAGGTCCTTCAAGCTTGCCAACAGATCACCGCAGAGTGAAGTTCAATATATTGTCCGGGACTTCAATGTCATGCCCTCATGTGAGCGGCATTGCTGCTTTGCTCAAGGCTAGGCACCCCGAATGGAGCCCCGCAGCAATAAAATCTGCCTTGATGACAACTGCATATGTTCATGACAACACGCATAAGCCTCTGCAAGATGCCTCAGCGGCTGAGGCTTCGACGCCATATGATCACGGCGCCGGGCACATAAACCCAAGGAAAGCTCTTGACCCAGGTTTGGTTTATGACATTGAGGCTCAGGATTATCTTGAATTTCTATGTACACAAAGGCTAACCCCAATGCAGCTCAAAGTTTTCACCAAGTACTCAAACAGAAGCTGCAAGCACTCTCTGGCCAGCCCAGGGGACTTGAACTATCCAGCAATCTCTGTTGTGTTCCCAGAGAGAACCAATGTTTCTCTTTTGACCCTTCACAGAACAGTCACTAATGTTGGCCCTCCGGTGTCGAATTACCATGCCATAGTTTCACCATTCAAAGGTGCTTATGTTAAAGTGGAGCCACGGACCCTGAAGTTCACCAGAGCCAATCAAAAGCTGTCTTATAAAATCACCTTCACTACAAAATCTCGGCAAGCAACTCCTGAGTTTGGAGGGTTGGTGTGGAAGGATGGAGTGCACAGAGTGAGAAGCCCAATTGTTATCGTGTGGCTGCCTCCACTGTGAATCTTTCACTGGATTTTTTTTTTCCCGACATGAATGAATCTGAATGTTTTAGTGCTTTTGAATAAACAAATTTTGTGTAAAAGGGCCAAGAAGTTCACTCATCTGTTGCTCTTCTAGTGCAAGTGATCAAATTTAGAACACGAGCAGAACAATCATGTGTAATGCAATGTCGAATTCGTATGCAAATTCAATCGTTGTGGTTCAGAACTAGATTATAATATAAGTTCATAGTTGCTCAATTCGCATATAATTTGAGAATGCAGAGCACATGTTTTCTGCAGTTAGTAGAGTTCTAGTCATTTTGCAGCCACAATGAATAAATATCTTAGTTGCTCAATCTCTTAAAGTAGTTAATCTTACTGGCTGCTCATGTCTTGAGAAGTTTCCAGAGATTTCAGTTATTATGGAGGAGCTACAAGCGCTTGATTTAGAAGTTTCCAAAGATCTGCCCTCGTCAATTAATAATCTTACGGGGCTTGTTACTTCGAACCTAGAAAATTGCAGAAAACTTAGAGAGCCTTCCAAGCAGTATTCATTTGAAATCTCTTCAAATCTCAAAGGCTGCCAAAACCTGGAGTAGTTTCCAGATGTTTCAGAGATTATGGAGGAACTATTAGGCCTGTATTTAGATAGGACTGCAATTAAAGAAGTGTCCACGCCATAGAATTCTTGTTATGGATCCTCCTGTAACACTTTCGGCTAATCAATAATACACCCATTTTATATGGGCCATATACATTTCCAACTACACCAGCGCAGTTTGGCCCAGTCAAAGCTGCCTCTTCTTCACACTTTTCTTTTTATTTTTCACAGTAAAAAAAAATATTTAAGAAATTTAAGATTATCTATGTCACTCAGTGCCACAAAAGAATGACGTGGACATAACTGGTCACTGACATCGACGGTTGCAGCAAGAGCAAGAAGGCCCCACGTAGTGGCTTCATGGCTCATGCAGAGCATTCTCGTGTCGCTTCCCAACCTTGGTCTCCTTCCACGAGTCACCAAGTTCCTCCTTACAGGACCTTCACCTTCACGTTTCTCTCGTCATTCCCCTCATCCCTATCTTTATATCTTCTCTCTGAGTCTCTCCAGTCCAGACCTCTCTCTCACACCATAATCAAGCAACTAGCTACTGGGTAGGTAGCTGGCTAGCAGTGATATGACAAGGCAGCGAGCTGAGCTTGTTTCGTCCAAGATAGTGCTGAGGAAGGAGTGGGAGTTTGACACACCGGAGCAATGCCGACAGCGCCGTCGCAGGAGAATCGAGATCAGGCGGGCACGGTGGTCCTACTCCGGCCACTACTACCTCCCTGTACGCCATGATCAGAACAATTCAGACGACCATGAGCAGACTTGTCTGTTATCTGATTATGTACAACGGAGGCAAAATAATAATATCAATCTGAATTTTGAGGAGGAGGAGGATGGGACGGAGGCAGTGGAGACAACTGATGACCATCATGTGGTGGTGCTGCGGCCAGCTGTACTGGTTCCGCGCTATTGGCTTCATCATAATCCGATGCCGGAGTTTGGAACCATTTCGCTGACTAGGCGTCCAGATCAGATTCAGATCAGTACGGATGACTACGATACGGTGTTCTTCAAGGAGGACTTTTGTCGGCTCGATTTCGATGATGTTCCCGGCAGTGGTGGGCCTATGCATTTCTTCGCTGTCTACGATGGTCATGGACACCCTCATGTACGTCTTTTTATAAATAAAAATCTCAAAAATACCCAATTTTCATTAATGTCATTTTATGATGTGATTAATTGTATTAATCATGTGCTGACTTTCAGGTCTCCGCGCTTTGCAAACAACAGATGCACGAATTCGTAGCAGAGGAGCTAAGGCGCGTGTTCTACGCGGCAGGGGGTGCCAATGGTGATGAAAACTTGAGCTTGGGTTCTTCGCAGGAGGAAGAGGCGAAGTGGCCTGTTCTGGTACGGACGGCCCTAGAGAGGAGCTTCGAGAGGATGCACCGCCTGGCCCAGGAGGCCTGCTCTTGTGGGAACATCGGGCACACGTGCGGGTGCAAGCCGAATATCAACGCGCTGCCCGTTGCGGGGTCCACTGCTGTCGTGGCCATTTTGACAGCCCAGCATATTGTGATTGCCAACTCTGGTTCCACACACGCCGTTCTTGGCCGCGGCGGGAGTCCTTTCCCACTGTCCCATGATCACAAGGTTCATTTTGTAACACAAATTGCCTCCAGTTAATTCACATCAACAAAATTTACATCTTACTTTAATTGGTCGCAGCGTGAAAGGTTATTCTATCACAATGGCGTGCGTGTATACGGAATTCTCAACATGTTTCATTATCCGAGTCCAGGTAAGTAAATCTTCCAATATTTGATAACTAGGATTGAATACTCACAGTATCGCGACCATTAGTTGATGCTAATTATTTTATTAATTGATTGGAAATTAATGAACAGGTGATGAGCGCTGCATTTTGAAACCAGTGGTGACATTGGAACCTGAGATTTCCATCATAAAAAGAGCAGCAGAGCGAGACGAGTGCTTGATCTTGGCGAACGACGGTATTTGGGATGTGATGTCGGATGACATGGCTTGCAGGGTGGCTTGCAGGTGTCTTAGAGATGACGGCCATACTAGTCCTATTGCTGCTGTAGTTGATTCTCATATAAACGGCCCTGTGCTTGTATCTTCTAAAAGCCACCTAGCAGCTTCGCTGCTCTGCCGCCTCGCATTTGCTCGTGGAAGCCTTGACGATATGAGTGTCATGGTTGTCGATTTGAAAAGTGGCTAGTTGAAGAATAGAAGCAAAAGAATATGTGGGAATTTATAATTGTATTATTATTTTCATCATGAAGGGTTACATTAATTGGGTTGTTCAATTGGACAAGCGATTTCTTTTTAAACCAAATGTTTACTGAAATGCTTGAATGTTCTCTAATATAACGGAAAATGTGATGGAAGGTTAAAATAGCAAAATAACATAGCCAGGGAGGGAGCCTAAATTTTATAAGGTTTCAAGATTCGGGTATTTACATGAAATCTAACTTATAATTGACGTGAAATGTGACTCATAATTGATAGATAAAGTATGTTATTGGTCAATCGTTAGACATTACAAATTTACAATTTTTTACAGTTGATGCATGTGCTATTTATATTGTCGTTGATACATGTAAGCATGTGCTATTTATATTGTCGTTGATGCATGTAAAGTCTACGATGTATTTGAATGTTTGTAATTTTCAATTGTTGATTTTCTTATCCAAGTCCATATTTTTCCTTGTTTGGGCTGTAGTCCAAATGAGCTGAGCCATCTAGCAAGAGAATTCCAACATGACTCCAGTTGGAGCCCAACTCATACCTGAAACGCACCGTTTGTCGCCAAATACACGCTCGTTTCAGACATTCTGACACGTAGCATTCTCCCAACTGGAAAGTCCAGCCGGGGGAGTGTACAAGTGCTCAACTGTCTTGGGTCTTCCCTCTGCACGCGATGACCATCTCTACTCCAAACATCACGACCGTCCGAGCTTGACGACATTCAGTTGAATTCAATCCAATGTCCATGATCATTGGCATCCGCGACGCCGGGTCGACCGGTGCAGTGGCGGCAGCCGACATCAACGGCGGAATCTACTCTCCGGCTAAGGAGAAAGCCGCCGCCAGAGGCGTCTACACCGGCCGCTCCCAGCTCATTCGGCGGCTCCGAAGCCTGGTCTGCGCGGCTAAGCTCAAGCTCGTTGTGTGCCTTGTCATCTTCTCCGTCGTCGTTTTGGTCACCTCCAGGCTTAGTTCTGTGATGGGTTGGGTCCCTCCCCACCCTAACCCCACCACCAGTTCTAGGTAACCAAAGCTAATTGCATTCGTAAATTCATAATTAAATTCGTAAAATTCTGAACTTATAACTAACTAAAAGAGAAATAATTTTCAGAGGAGGTGGATATACGGTGCTTATGAACACATGGAAGCGAAGCGAAGCTTTGAAGCAATCAATTGGGCACTATGCGTCGTGTGGTGGCGTTGAAGCAATTCATGTGGTGTGGATGGACAGCGAACCACCCTCAGAATCTATGAAATCCCATCTCGAAAAGATGGCATTTTCAAAGTCACAAGCAGCGAAAAAACCCAACTTTAAGTTTAACATGAGCCAAGACGACGATTTGAACAATCGGTTTAAGCCAATTCAGGACCTTAGATCAGACGCCATATTCTCTGTTGATGATGATGTAATAGTCCCCTGTTCCACTTTGGATTTTGCTTTCACGGTCTGGCAATCTGCACCCAACACTATGGTTGGGTTTGTTCCTCGCATGCATTGGCTTGATAAGGAGGTTAGCATTTTTGCTCTTTTGGGTGCCTGAGTTTTTGGTTGAGCTTTGTGCTGATTGATTGTAATTTTGGTTAATCTTTGTGTTTGAATTCTAAACAGAAGAGTGGCGTAGAGAAATATACGTATGGGGGGTGGTGGTCGGTTTGGTGGATGGGCACATATAGTCTGCTTCTTCCCAAAGCTGCATTCTTTCATAGGAACTACTTGAATTTGTATACCAACAATATGCCCTCATCTATCCGTGATTATGTCACCAGGGAGAGGTATGTACATGTGTTGCCTATCTTTTCGTTTGGGTTTGGGGGCTTCATTTGTTTGTGTGCTGCTTATTATACTTAAGATTTTCTGTGCTCGATTGTGCAGAAACTGTGAAGATATTGCTATGTCATTGCTTGTCGCTAATGCCACCGGTGCTCCTCCAATTTGGGTGAAAGGTATTTTGGATTTTCTTTTCTTAACATGTATGTATGTGCAAACTACGTTGGATGAGCCTCAGGGTTTGTGTTAGTTTTCCAAATGACTATAACCAGCATAAAGTTTCACATTAGCTTGTCTTCTGCATAGTCAATACACCCTGCATCCATCAATAGCTTTGGTAATTATTGACGGAGGCTCTTGTTTGATGTGCACCCTAGTTGACAACTTTCTGCTTGGTTGAAAACAAGTTTGAGTACTCTGCTTGACAACCTTCCCCTTGTTTTCTTCCTCATTCATCAGTAAAAAAATTAAGCACCTTCACCTGTGAAGAAAGTTAGAGAGAAATGAAGTCCTTCTCAGTCAATAAGAACATGGATTTCAATACAATGAACAAAAGCTGATGTGGAGCCTTTTAAGTATTACAGAGCTTTGCATGATTGACATCCACCTCCTCTTAGCAAATAGAACAGTGAGGCTAACAACTCAGACTGTCAAAACTAACACTAATTCACTAATTAAACCCTCCAAATAACATCCTGTATGTCCGTCGGTCTGACCTGACAAGCGTGTGTCATAGAGTTTGGTTAAAGATTTATGTCATACCAATTTCTGCTTGCAGAGATCAGGACTGAAAGACCATTACCATATGTATATTAAGTTTTTATACAATCTGTCATCAAATTAGCTGCAAAATTGGAGAGGAGGCCTATTGGTTTTAGACAAGAACCCACTAAGGTTTCTTTTTTTCTTTTTTCTTTTTTTAATCCCATAGAAAACTTTTTTTTCTAGAAGATCTTGATTCTTGAGTGCATTATAACAAGGTGCATCCGATGTATGAATTTCAGAGGCGTGTTTTGGACAAATTCCTTAATAAATGCTGTTTAGTTGTAAGTTGTAACTGCTTCTCTTTACATTTTTCCTCAATATATCTAAACTGATGATACTGATGTTAGTTTTTGGGTTCAAATAACATTTTCTGCTCAGCAAAAATGCTCAGATATTCGAATTTCAAATCCCTTTACTTAACGGCACCAACCCAACTATCGCATTTGTGTTTTTACACTATGATGGCCATCCGTTGTTGGTTCTCCTAAACTTTGTCGTTGTACTCTTTAGCTCTTGGTCGTCCTCAATCTAAGAAATTTTATCTTTAAGGCTTTTTGTTGGAAAATTTTCATGCTGAAGCGGGGGCCACGAACTGTGCAGGGAAGACATATGAGATTGGATCATCTGGAATGAGCAGCATGAAAAGGCACAGCAAGAGGAGGAACAAGTGCCTCAACGATTTCATCTCCCTATTCGGAAGAATGCCGCTTGTATCAACCAACGTTAAGGCTGTAGACACGAGGCTTGAATGGTTCTGGTAACTTGAGTTGTATGTATAATTTGCTTTCCCCACCTGTAGTTTAGTGTCTGTATAGACTGTTGGGACATGGTACCTACAAGGACGTAATCTCTAACTCTGATATGGACATGACATTGCTCCACAACCAGAATCCACAATCCAGAATGTTTGTTTGATGAGCCAGCACTCTCTTTGTTGACCCTCCCATCAAAATGCTATACAGAACACAGATTAGGGTAGAAGTTCAATTGTTTTTGCTTGTTCATCATTTATCTTCTATAGTGGATGAGTCAAATTTAGATGTAAGAGGTCGGGCACGAGTGCATTTAATAAACAATTATTAGTGTAAATTAATGGGGTGGAGTGGGGTGGGGTGGTTGGAAACTTGGAGAGGAGGTCCATCAGTATTGTTAAGAGGTCGGCGCTAGGGCCACATTGCTTATGGAGGAGGCCCGGCTTTTATTAATGGGCTTGTAATTTTCTCAAGATATGCAAAGAGAAGTATACAAGCAAGCAAACCTCTCATGTGATGTGATCAAATTCTAAACGAGCTATACCCTATCTCATTCAATTCATCACAAGGACCAGGTTAAAGCCCATTCTTCTGATCGTTATTGATTCTTTGCACGTGTGATCATCTCGTCAACAGTCAACATCGTTGACTGGGTGAAGACGATGCCCAGCTAGCCACGTGGATTATTTTGTTTTCAGGCAGTGACAGGTCGGTTGTTGTCGGCCACCACGTTGTGTAATACTTTTCTTTTACATTTACTATTTAATATTTATTTTCCTGGATTTACCCTTACCGGCTTGTTTGTATTTTGTGAAACGAATTTCCTCTGCACCTGCTGTAGGACACTACGACAGAGCGAATAATACAAGTTGGAACTCTAAAATTCCACACGTGGAATCTCATAATTACGTTGGAAAAGTGTACATTATGTTTGACTTTGATACAATGTAACCAACTTTTTCTCGGCATATGATGTGACAGCCTATCACTTCATTTTTCATTCATTCTTTTTTTTTCTCTTTAAATTAAATATGATGGAAAATTCTTCAAATATGAAAATACAAATTCCCCCCTTATATCAATTTATCTTTCATTAAAAAATTAAAAAAAAACCGTTTTATTGTTCATTTCTCTCTATTTATCCAATTGAAGAGCTTAGTGAATAAATGTGAAAAGAAAATAAATAGGAATATAAGGATTATGTTTAACTTAAGAAACCAAAAAACTTGCACGTGCAAACAGAAAATATAAATGAATGGATAGATTTGGGTGAGGTGAGGTGAGGTGAGTAGCAATCCACGTTGATTTTCCTGGTTTTCCCATTTTTGACCTGAGAACAAAAAGTCTAGAAAAGGATTAATAAAGGAATAATAAAAGAATAAAAATTTATCAAGCTGAGCTCTCCTCCTGGCCCCTCGATATCGTATCATTGGGAAAAATAAAATAAAAATCCAAGTAAATTTAGCATCAACAAGGAAGGTGAAAGATAATTTTTTTTATTTCTTCCCTTAATCTAAGTTAGTTTTCTTAATTTTAAAAAGTAAACTAAAATATTGGTTCATTTGCTAACCTTCATGAAATTTGAGTTAAATAGTATTTACTGAGTAATAAACAGAGATATTTAGGAGAATGTATTCAATTTAGATTTTAATAGATTGTAAAATTAAAAATGCTGAGTAAGTAAGCAAGCATCATATGAGAAATGAGCTACAACGGCAGCCTGTAAGATGAAAAGTCAAACCTAACAAAAGAAAGAAACCAAAGACTTTGGCAGTGGGTTGTTTGGGCCGAGGTGTGCGTGACACAATCACACAATCACTAGGGTGTGATTTTTATTTTTTTATTGTTCGTTAATTAAAAATTCAATTGCCACACATCTTAAAAAAAGAAAAGAAAATGTTAATAGTAGGGCGTTTCCTAGAAGAAAACCAAAATAGGAAAATGACATGCTTCCATTTTATTTCTTTATTTATTTTTTCTTTTTCCGGGGCTTTTCAACGTCTATTTTTTTTTTTTGCGTTTCTTTCACGATAAAAACATGTTTACTGTAAAAGACCTAATAGTGTAGATAAAAGCATGCTTATAGCAAAAGACCTACTAGTGTAGTAATTTGGAGCAATTGCTTTCTCAAACAATGTCTTAAGTTCGAGTCATAGCATGATTATCAAATGAGCCCAGCTATTAATCCTCCTTTTTTTTTAATACAAAAAATAGTATGAACTACGAGAAAGTCGAACTTGGGTGCAGAGTGGGGAGCATATCCACTATAATCAATTTGATTAAGCCCATGAATGACAACATAATAACATCACTTGCTTCTTAAATTCTCTTATGTGATGATTCGAAATAAATCCTAATTATGCGTTCTTTTTTCTTCTTTTCTTTTTTGTAGAAAGTCTCAACCTTTTCCTTTTCCCATGCATGATGCATTATTGTTTGAGATGAAAGTAACCGCACTTGAATAACGATGATGAGGCATATAGGAAAAAAAAAAAACATTAATCAACGTTCTAGGATGTGCATGTTAAAGTTGATTTTGCCAATACAATTTATCTGGTTTACACATTATGATAATCAGTCAACTATAAGATTCATTTCAGTCAATTTAAAGAATTAGATTCAAATACATAATCCATCATCTTCTAATTTGACATAATCTATATCTTCAATCTTCCTATAATATTTTATTTTAAACGGAATACACGAATCCATTATTTTATTTTTGCCAGAAGGAATCAATGATTCTCTCATCATAATTAGATATGGCATCGGCATTGCGAGTGTCTGTTAAAATTATTATTTTGCCACAAATTAGTAGGAAAACGCAAATTTACAGAAAAATAAAATGAGAAACACTATACAAGAGAAACTCAACGGCGCGCAGGCGCCAAATACGCAGCAAGGTAAAAAGTAAGTAGTGACAAGTGACGACAGCGTAAGAAAAAAAGAACGGTAAAAGGAAAATAAATTATATATATATACACACACATATAAATAAAATAAAATTAAAAAAAAACGTAAAAAAAAAAAAGCGAAATTGGCCAATACCCTAAAAAAACAAGGAAAGCGCCACCAAAACAAAACACACAAAAAATAGGAAAAAGGAAACACATCATCACAATCCAATCCAGTGATTCACGGCACAAATACAGAGACGAACAGCCCAACAACTCAAAAGACTAACACAAAACTCCCACTTTCTTCTTCTTCCTCCTCCCTCCCAACTGCCACTAAATTGTCTCAAGATTCACTGTTAGCAATTCAGAAAGTTTCAATCTTTACGTCGTTTTGGTGCTCAAGATGCGCCAAATCCCTCAATCCCCATCCCCCGCAGCTCCCCAACCCCAACCCCTCGGCACCAGTCACCTCCTTCAACCTTTCGCCGCCTCCTCGGCCGCCGCCTTTTCGCTTCTCCTCTTCCTCGTAGTTTGCTGTCGCAAGATCACCCGGAAGCGAACCGCCCCGGAATCCGACTCCAAGCCTCCCCACCGCCTCTCCTACTCCGTCCTCCGCCGCGCCACCGATTCTTTCTCCCCGGAGCGCCGCCTCGGCCAAGGCGGCTTCGGCTCCGTCTTCTTCGGTACTCTCCCCCACACCCGCCAAGATGTCGCTGTCAAGGTCATGGACTCTGGCTCGCTCCAGGGCGAGCGCGAGTTCCAGAACGAGCTCTTGTTGGCCTCCAAGCTCGACTCGCCGCTCGTCGTTTCGGTCCTCGGATTCTCCTCCGACCCCAAACGACGCCGTATGCTGCTGGTGTACGAGTTTATGAGTAACGGGAATTTGCAGGATGCTCTCTTGCATCGGAAGTGCCCTGAATTGATGGACTGGAGAAAAAGGTTCTCGATTGCGGTTGATATAGCCAAAGGGTTGAGGTATCTGCATGGGTTGGACCCGCCTGTTATTCATGGTGATGTGAAGCCCAGTAATGTTCTGCTGGACCGCAACTTCTCGGTCAAGATTGCCGATTTTGGGCTTGCCAGGTTGAAATCGGAGAGTCAGGTAGTGATTGATGTGTGCAAGATGAATAATGGGGTAGAGGGGAAGAAGGAGGAGCTGGAGACTAATGGTGGATGTGATTATGGGTCTGTGGTTGAGGAAACTGAGAGTGTGGCAACTACTGGGTTTGAGGAGTTCAATGTCGGTGTTGATCAGTCGCCGGAGAATCTAGCAAAGCTTCCAATTTCGCCGGAGACGTCGGTGACGCCACCGTCTCCGGTGTCCCCAGAAGGAGATTTTGATAAGGGTAGTTTGGATGACGGAGGGAAACAGAGAGTGAATAAAGATTGGTGGTGGAGACAGGACAGTGGGGGTGTCAAGGACTATGTGATGGAGTGGATTGGAAAAGAGATTGGGAATGATAGGCCCATTGGAACCACAGCTTCGTCCAGCAGTGAAATGGTTGAGAATTGCGAGAAGAAGAAGAAGAAGAAGAAGAAGACGGATAGTAAGAGATTGGAGTGGTGGATATCAATGGACGAGGAAAAGATTGCAAAAAATTCGAACAAGGAGAAGAGAAGGCCTGCGAGGGAATGGTGGAAGGAGGAGTATTGTGATGAACTTGCAAAGAAGAAGAAGAAAAAGAAGGACAAGAAGCAACCAAAAGGAATGAGCTTTGATGAGAATGAGGATCACTATTGGCCGGACGACGAAGAATTGTTTGTGGAGAGTAAGAAGAAGAAGAAGAGTAGGAGCAAGAGTTGGGGCAGTATGAGTAGTATTGATTGGTGGTTGGATGGAATGAGACGAAATAATAGTCATGATTCTGGGGAAATTCCCAAGAGTGGTGGCATTAGTAGTACTCCGAGCATGAGAGGGACAGTGTGTTATGTTGCCCCTGAATATGGTTATGGTGGTGATCCTTCTGAGAAGTGTGATGTTTATAGTTTTGGGGTCTTATTATTGGTTGTTATAGCCGGAAGGCGGCCACTGCAGGTAACCAATTCGCCTCTATCCGAGTTCCAAAAGGCGAATTTGTTGTCGTGGGCTCGCCATCTTGCCCGTGCAGGGAAGCTTGTTGATCTTGTAGATAGGTCCATTCATTCTTTGGATCGAGAAGAAGCGATCCTTTGCATCACTGTGGCATTGGTTTGCTTGCAAAAGGTGCCTTCTCGCCGGCCCTCAATGAAAGAGGTTGTGGGGATGCTGACGGGTGAGTTGGAACCACCCAAACTACCGCCTGAATTAACCACTTCAGCTAAGTCACGCTTCCCATTTAAGTCCCATACAAAGGTCCGGTGAGTTTGTAATGTATGATATTGTTTTTTCATTAACAGTAGGTGGTATACTGCTACAGATCATTACTATGATGGATGATTTGGGTATTGAAAGGAAGGAAAAGGAATAGTTTTCATTTGTATTAACTGACTAATGAATTTAGATGATTGGAATTTCTTTCATTTGCTCATCTCTTTACTGGTATGGTATGGCCTACAAATCCGAAAGATTTTTCATCTTCGTATGTTTGTAATCATAATTGGAGGTAAAGATGAAAACATTGTCAGTTTGTCATATTCCTCTGGCACTGACTTTCAGGAATTCCACGTTTGCTTTTTTGGAGTGGTCCATTCTCTTAGCGATAAGGCAAGCTTACTCATTTGAATAAGTTTTGTAGAAGTTGAATCCGAGCAACTTGCATAATGAAGTTCTTTTAGTTGACCCCCTCTTGCCTGAAAGAAAAAGAAAAGGGGAAAAAGAGAGCAACTTTCTTTTCATCATTTGAAAATTTTGGGCAGGGTAGTTGTTCATTCTTGTCTGTAGCTTCGTCGAAGTTGACTATGCCTTTTACTTTCTTTTTTCACTTTGGTAATGGTAGAGAGGGAAAAAAACACATTCATATAAACCAGGTTTGGAAAAGGGTGATACAAATTTAAACATGGACGACGTTTGCATATAAATTGTGCTGTGATGATGCCACCACTATGTAGTTTGGCCATGTTTATAAGATGATTCAGTAAATAGGTATTTTTCCTGGGCAGCTCGATCAGTTGTGCAGAAAAGGGCATGACACTGGTGCACTTTATTCCCAAATTCTTAATATGAACTTGGTAATCAACAAACAAGCTCATCCCACATTATCATTTATCTTATGTGAGCTTGGTCATACTTGCGAGATCTGGTTGCTACAAGCGAAAGTGATAAACTCAGTTGTGCTAGTAATAACATAAGCTGGTATGATTGAGCTTTGTTGTTACCACGCGCACATGAAGACAAATCCTTGCAATATAATTTCTTAGTATTCTTCTCAAAGCCTTGGGAGAAAAATTGATGCTTGCATTTTACATTGCTGACTAGTTTCTGTCATTGTGGAAGAAAAGTAATGTTTTAGTGATCTAACTTATTTGTATTTTGCCAGTAACCTCGATTTTGTGGGTGATTTT